TTTTTAAGAGGTTCTAAATGCCCGTTAACACACTTGCAACTGAGTAGGACAGACCGAGACAAGACTGGTTTTTAAGCCTCTTGCGCTGTTTTCGGACCTGCTCCACAGCAGCACATCCGGTCCTAAAACGCCGGAAGAGGCTTAAAAACCGATCTCGTCTCGGTCGGCGCTACTCGACTGCAAGTGTGTGAAGGGGCCTTAAGACGTAAGCCTGCAGCTCGGACGGAATCCGGTGAATCTATAGACCTTTCCAAAAAGAGCGCTCTGGCCGCCGCCATTTTGCGAATCGAGCGACCCCTATCAGCCAGAAATTTCTGGCACCCGCCTGAGCTGTGGAAACTCGGTCAGCGTGACTCCCCACCTGCATTTTGCATCCGGAGTTCGGCGGCTTTTCTTGGAAGTTTTTATTTTATTCGCTTGTTTTGGGTGATTACCCTTTGTATGTTATCTTCCACTGTGAGAACCACGGAATACCAGGGCTCTTAGCCCGCTCGGCCTTCGCAGAAAACGAACGAAGAGAGCGAACGTCAAGCAGCCCGCGACGCAGGCAGTTCGACGTGCCTGGAGGATTATTTCCGTCGAGATAATCTCCAAAAAGCCTTCCCGGGTGTGTTCCGGGTCTTCGCGAAAAATAGCTGATAGGGTCGGGTTCGGGGTGTGGGGACAGAATAGACACGTTCGTTCATTTGCTTTGAAGCTGTTCAAAAAAGCTGCTCTCTTCTACATGTTCCCCAAAACGCGCCGGATTCCGTCCGATTGTCGCGAAGTGGCTATCGTCGACACTGTATATTGGACATGCTGTGTTATTTGAGACCTTTCTCAAATCCTGTTCGGATAACGCGGCACCGTGGGGTACGTACAATATATGTTGTTCCATTGATGAGACTCATTGAATTTCATGTTGTGGGCGGGGAATATCCATGCAGTTCAGATATTCTGTGTGGTCACATATTTTGACCTTTATAGATTGACACGGCTGAGTGTACGGTGCCGTAAAACGATGAACATAAAATGAAACAACCATTCCAGTTGCATTTGTTCTGTCGCGCACGGACTCACCAAAACAGCTTTCATTTCTTTGTTTTTGTTCCAAAAAAATATAGCACTGCTTTCTCAAATACCTCTATAAATTATGTTCGCCACAGAACACAAAATAAGAAAGAAAGCGCGGCAATTTAGCTTCCACCAGCGTCCGGAATTGCGCCTACGCAGGCTGCCACAGCCTACTGACGAGAAACTCCACAGCTCAGCGCAGTCGGGCAACACTGAGGTACACTCTCAAAACCAGGGACGCGCGCTGTAAATCGCCTCGTTCGAGACTGCCGCTGGAAAGGTCTATAGTGGGTCACAAGCCAAGAAGGTAGGAGAAGCTCCTCCCAGGGCGGAACAATATACATTTGTCTTTGTGTGGTTAAATGAAATTGGTCTTATTTAAACACTAGGTCTAGGGTAACTGGGCAAAAGGTTACACTGCTCGGCAGGCGTATACAAGACAATACACATTAAGGAAGTACATACAGATACAGTAGCACATCAGCATTCAAAACAGCATATTTTGTATAGATACAATCATAAGTGTCATTTCTAACTCTTGGAAATTCTAAATAAATTATGTAATAAAACTCACAATCAATGAAAACACTACCTGGAAATATTTACTAGAGTGACGTTTTATACTGTTTTTGAAGCTATGTTTTAAAGCACAATCTAGAACAATTCCTTTAACGATTGGATGTTTAAGAAATCCGTTATTAAGTATGCTAATTGGTGATGTCGATATTTGTCCGAACCTACGGTATTCTTCAAGAGCCATGTCGAAGATTGCATTTTTTATTATTAGGAAGAAGTGCTTCAAAAACTCGGGATGGCTCACTAATTATTTCATTATATATATATGACCTGAAAGTTTGAGGAGGAATAGATTACTAATGGGTATGAAGACTTTAAAAAAGGACTGTGCTATGTAGTCAGTACGCCAAAAGTTTTCTATACAACGTACTGTTATTGTTTTTTGTTTTTTCAAAAGAAGCAGTTTATTAGTATTTGTTAGTCGTTGATCCCCAAATTAATAAGAAGTAATGGATATGAGAATGCACCAATGTATAGTACAACTTACGTTTTAACCAGCATGGAACCAGCAATCTAATTATGTTTAAAATATCAATAGATCTGGAGACTCTTGCATGAATTTTGTTTAGATGAGGTGTCCAGCTTAGATATTCCTCGAAAAGAACTCCAATTGAATATATAGACATTTACATGCTCGATCACAGAGTCTTGGAATTCTAAAATAATTTTAAAGTCAAGTTTAGTTCGTGGCTTAAAATCACATACTTTGTTTTCGTAACATTTAACTGAAGTTGAATACAGTCAACTTCAGTTAAATTTGCATTGCCCGTGTTAATTTTTGGGCGACATTAGCTGCATTAATGATCTGATTAATTTTCTGCGAATTATAAAGTCCTGTCGTCGGCGTATATTACGAATTTAGCCATCACGTCAATATTTACAATATCATTTACATCGAGTTTAAATAATTGCGGTCCCAAAATGCTCCCTTGAGGTACCCCGGTACGTATTGGTGGAGCTGTTGAGCAGGAACCATTCATATTTACAAACTGCCTACGGTGAGCCAAATATGATTCCATAATCGATAATGTCTGACCCCGGATTCCATAGAACTCAAGTTTCTGCAATAATATGTTATGGTTAAGCAGAGCTAATTGGGTAGAGCATTTATTTTTTTAAATCCAAAATTCGCGTTCGTGAGCATCTTATGTTTGTCACAAAATGCTGTCAAACGGGTGCACAACATTTTTCTTTCTAATCTTTTTGAAAATACTGGGCGAATGGACACCAGCATATGATTGCTCACAACATTTTTGTCCCCTTTCTTGCATCCTACCGAAACTTTAGCAGTTTTCACTTTTTTTAGGAAACGATTCATTGAGAATGCATCGATTAAAGACACGAGTCAAATGGTATGAAAGCAAGTCTGTTTCAAGGCTGCCAAATTCTCCATTACACCATCTATTTTCTTCTTCATCTATAACATATTTGATGGGTTTTATTTGAATACGATCCACCATACCTCGCCAAACCTCACTCATGAGGGCCCTCACTCACCCTCATCTTCACAGGTGAGGTGAGGGTGATAAGCTTCTGAACCAGGAAAATTTATGAGTGAGGGTGAGGCAGGACCGTGAGTGCATGAGGGGTGTCAGAGCCATGAGTGCGTGAACGTGGTGAGGGGCACGAGTGCGTGAGGGGTATGAGGGCCGTGAGTGCGTGAGGTGTGTGAGGGCCATGAGTGCGTGAAGGGCTTGAGGGCGGTGAGTGCGTGAGGCGGAGCAACCCTCGCAGCTATTTTGGTGCTGTTGGCGGGTAGTTCCCTAGCTTACCCTAGATCGACAAGAATTGCTCGAAACAAGAGAGCAACTCGGAGCAATTCGAAGACGTTTGAAGCGGCTGCATTCAATCGGGAACGCAATATTTTCACGTGATGCCTCGTGCTGGTGATGATGACTACAAAAGAATTGGTTCCGGAATCCGGTTTGAAAGTTATCGTTTTTGGAAATAAACTGTTTCAGAAAGATGCATTAGTATTCTCAACAAGATTTAAATGCATACAAACACGTTTATAGCGCGTAACTGTGTCTAAATAGTGCTAGAAAAATAAACTTCATGATCATGATGGCAAATCGCTGCAATTGGTTGCCGAGTGTGAACGCGGGCGGCCCGTGTTGGTGGTGTTCCGACGTCAAGTTTCTGGGCGAAATTGCCCCATCTGAAGCGGGCCTGAGTGGCGTGAGGGCCCTGAGTGCGTGAGGGCCGCGAGGGCGGTGAGTGGCGTGAGGGTCATGAGTGCGTGAAGGGCCATGAGGGCGGTGAGTGCGTGAGGGGCATGAGTGAGGGCCATGATTGCGTGAGGTTCAGTGAGAGTGAGTGAAGGTCTGAAGGATAGTGTGACTGTGAGGGTGAAGGTGAGTGAGGGGCTGAAAGTGAGTGTAGCTGTGAGGGTGAGTGAGGGGCTTAGGTGAGTGTGGCTGTGAGGGTGAGTGAGAGCAACCTCTGCCATCCACATCGCAGCTGTTGTTTCTTAGTCCCAAAAACACCGAAATTACTTCGCTTTTAGTTTCAGGGCCTCAAAATACAGTTAATGTTCCTAAATCCCATACCGATATAAGCATGAGTAATAGCAGTTGCATGATTAGTGACACTGGCAAAATAGTTAGTAAAGTCACTCGCAAGTCATTTTTTCTGGGCGGTTAAGGACAGAGTTTAATTCCTTCCACATTATATCAGTATGCCCGGTTGATAACAAAGACGATTCATTATAATACTTTTCCCAAGCTTTCCGCGGCTTTTTTTGTAAGCTGGTTTCTATATTTCATAAACGCTTTCTGCCAATTATAGTCTCGAGTTGACTGAGACGATGTCCTCCTCGTCTCGGTAATGTGCCGCCGATGCTCCGTTGCAGGGACTTATGCAATGTTGTCGTTTATTATTCGTTATTTCTTGACACGCTGCTGGTATTGATATGCTGATGTGCGGACGCCCTTTCCTTGGTCGTTGACGCGACTACTCTGACGCTTGGGCAAATTAACTCAGTTTATTTACCACCTCACGTTGTAGAGTGCCGTTTGCCCTGTCACCCACTCTCCTCCTCTGGTGGATGTAGCTCAAATCATCGTCGTGCAGTAAGCCTGGTTGAAGTTCTCTCTCGTCACCACACTCTGAAATTTCCAGCTCATCGCCCAGCTCACGTGCTAAACTCACACACCTCGCATTTTTCATTACTCCCAAACGCGCCTTGTTCTTTGCTCAGCAGCTATTTTCAGTCCCATGCCCACTGTTTTATGACAGGGGGACTTCACTTCGGTTAAGGTTGCCCGTGTAACTAGCGTATAGGTCTGTCGCGAACCCCCTTGGGGTCGCGACCCGGAGTTTTGGGATACACCGCCCTACCCCGCTTCCTGACCACCAGCCGTTCCCCGCAGGGTGCTCCTATTCACCTTCCTGGTACCCTCGATCCAAGTGATCCTGTTCTGCCTGTGCATCGGCTCCGACCCGTTCGAGCTGCAGATCGGTGTCGTGAACCTGGACTCGCACCCGATCCTCAGCGTGCCCTTCCTGCGCCGGCTGGACAACACCACGCTGAGCCAGCTCCACTTCCCGGACCTCGAGTCGGCCGTCGAGGCCGTGCGGAGCGGCCAGACCTGGGGCGTCATCGCCATCGGCGCCAACTTCTCGACGGCGCTGCAGTACCGCTTCCTGCTGGGCGTGGACGCCGACAACAAGACCATCGACGACAGCAGCATCAACGTTTACCTGGACATGACGAGTGAGTGACGCCCCCGGGGTGCTGCGCCCAGATTCGTAAAATACGCTTTCAGGCTCCTTCGCATGGGCGCTGCCATCTTGGAATCACGTGACACCGCCGCCCTAAGGTGGCTTCAACTCCGATCTAGGGAGGTTCTTGGGAGGGTGGGCGCAACTGCTAGATCGGGGATCACGGGATATTGACGCCATTTAATTGCTAAATTTTGCTGGGAGTCTACGGGGCAACGGGTCGTTTTATTTCCTAACTCAGGTCATAAAAGCCCCTTAAAATGTGCTTGAATAATTTACGCAAGGTATAAATGATAACTTTTCCACAGCCACCAATTTTGTTCCAGTAGGTTAAGTATTTTTTTAACGCGAAAAATGGTAAATTCCGCCATCTTGGACGCTGCTTCTTGTCTGGCAACCCTGCTTTTTCCTCTCGACGTTTGCGATTCCCTGAGCGAGAAGGAAGCGAGAAAGGCTACGCCAAGGCGTTCGTTGCTTGCAATGAGAGGCGAGAGGAGGAAAGGCACATGGGGCAACAGCGTTGAACAGGGCGGGCGTCTGCTCTCGTGCAGGCAACATTGGCGCATATCCTTTCCCGAATACTTTCCCTCAGGCGGCGCCACTAAATTGCAAACGCTCTCAAGGATTTGAGTTGCGCTCACCCTTACTATACTTCGTTTCAGCTTCGGTCCGAGCGCGGCCGATGTTATGAGCCGAAGGGCCAATCAAACAGCACAAAAAGCGCAGCGTCATAGCGCGCTCTCTGTGCTTGATAAGACTAGCCGGCGGAGGAGCACGCACAGAAATACGGCGAATAGCGGCTGGTCCTATCAACTGCAGAGAGCACGCCATGACGTTGTGCCTCCTTCGCTGTTTGATTGGCCGTTCGGCTCATAACATCGGCCGCGCTCGGACCGAAGCTGAAACGAAGTACAGACACCCTACCCTGATGCGCCTCCCCCCCCCCCCCCCCCCCCCCCCACCCCACGCCTTGGCGAAGGTGTTGGACTAGTTTATTGCTGTTCTCGGCCCCTTGTCCGCCGCACAACAGTGTTTTTGTTTGCAGGGATTATGCACTTCTGCTGTGTAGTGCCGCACGTCTGCCAAACACAACAATCTGGGGCGTCGTGCATTTTCAAAATGAACATTGTATTTGCCAGCAAAGGCAAAATGTGGGAAGAAACTTGGCCCAACGCGCTTTTTACGAACACGCCCGAGTGTAAAGGCAGTGCGCATGCGCAGAAACCACACCGGCGTGAGGTGAATAATCTACGGAGGCTGACCGTAAGAGGGTGCCACCGAAGCATTCCCGCGCTAATATCCACTATTGAACAAAAGCCATTAGAAACGCTGCCATTCTGGATGTTCGTTCGTTTGGCACGTGTTCTTTTTCGCTTGAGCGGCATGCACGCTCCGCTGGACTATTTTACCGACACTATGAACTGCTTCTTTGTGGAAAGAGTGGAATGGTTCCTATTAGACCGATCTCACCAAGCGAACTGCGCAGGCGCACACATTCCGGAAGTGGTGTCGCCGCCATGCAATTTGAAGTCATCGCATATCATCGATTGGAACACCCCGGTATCGGCTTGGGTTCTCCTGTCTTGTGTGTAGTTTGTGAGATTGTGCTGTTTGTGATGGCTTAATTTGTCAGCAAGCGCAACAAAAAAAACAGTTGCTGTCGTATTATCGCTTTAGAATCGCTTCGTCGTCCGCTACCACGTTTGAGTCGTTCGCGCGGTGGTCCCACTGAAGCCGCGGGAAAAACGACGACAATATTCAAGCACTCAGACTGCTCGAACGTGTCAATGAACTTGGAAACAAGTTAACATCTAGTTCAATGGCAAAAAACACGAAAACTCGAGGGACCATCGAATCGGGGTAGCACCGCGGAGCAGCATCGACTATGCCTATAGAAAAGGGTGTTGCGTAGTTCTCTGGCTTGTACTTAACGCTTTGTCAATAATGAAGTAAGAAGAGCTAAATAGAGTTTCTCGGGTAGCGATAGTTTTTTTTTTTTAAAGTCGTCTCACTCTGGCATAGAGCCTGCGAGACAAGGTACAGATGAACTGCGGGGAGAAGCCTGCACACAAACAAGAAATTATCCCCAGAAAGATCATGCCTGAAGCACCGTAAGAACTCGCACCTTTCAAAAAGAAGCAACCATGCCAGATACCCAAAACCGCTGTGTGAAGATGAGTTTTCGTGTACAATTTTATAAAACATATTTTGTTTGCGCAAACGAGCAGTCGCTCGACGATGGAAGCTTTTTTTCTGCGATCTCGATTGGTGTTAATGCAGAACTGGCCATTAACGCCAGCAAAAATCAAGTTGTGGCATAAGAGACCACCACAAGGTTGGTGAGGTTCTTCTGCCTTTTTGGCGGTAAGCGTTGAACTTCTAAATTGCATTATGCGGTGTTTTCACTTTTTTTTTTTAAAGAAGCTTGTTTTCGAAAAAGTTGGTTTCATTTCAAGCGATGCATATCGGGAATTTATTTTTGTTTTTACTGAATACTCTAATATGTTGATGCTTAGTTGTGCTTGAAACATGTCGTCCCTATAACAGTTGTAACCACCAAAGTATATGGAGAAAAAATACGTATTAAAAGCAGCCGACGCAAAGCAGTGCGAAGGTCCCGATTGAAATGGACTCCTACGGAGCGAGAGCTCGGGAATATTTCAATTGAAGTCTTCGGCACACCCTACTATGTCTGTTAGAGAAAGCGCAGTGGGATGGATATATTGTCACGAATGAAGGTGACGAGAAGCCAAACAGTGAACTGAAGGATACAGGTTTAATAGGCGAACTTGTGCCAACCAAAAATAAGTAACGAAAGAGCGTCGAGGCAGCAGAAAAGCGGGCGGCGATTCGGCGGCACTACAGAGCGCTAGCGAGACTGACTCGACAAGGTCGCGGGCAGCTGCTTATCTACCGAGTGTCACTATCTCGAAAGTTCGGCAAAGAAAGTTCGAGCGTCGAGCGCTCGGGGCGAGGATGAACTGGCACTTTCGAGAATAACAAAGCAGAGGGAAAGTTACGTCTGGTGCGAGATTGTACGCGAATCCTCTAGAAGTCCGTGACCGAGCGCTTCTTTAACGACCTTGCGGGCGGCAATATATCATAAAGCAAATCGCAGTTCGGTTCGGCTCGGTTTACCTTTCTTAGCCCCTCTTGTCGGAGGCTGCTTTCTTTCGGGCAGTAAAAAATCCCATGCCTTTTGGCCTAATGTTATCATCGTAACACCCTGGCACACAACAGGTAAAGCTACCTATTGAAAAGCGTGTGTAAACACTAGAAATTTTCCAAACATCGGGCATACGACGTGTGCACTGATGCGGCCGGAAAACCGGGGAGAACAACAGGTACCAGAATGTACCGAGAAAAGTGGTGACGTCGCGCAATCAACTTTTTTTGGGCGACGTTTTCAAGTGCTTCGAGAATTCGCCGGGCTGACAAACGCACGGAAGGTGCATCTTTCAGCAATAAATCCTGGAAGTGCCCTGTGTGCGCGAGCTCTGTTACAAACGAAGGCAGTCTGCTCTGCTAGGCTCTCATGGCTCTGCTTCTGTCTGTACTTGCGCGTGCGCATACCGTTTGGCGTTTTTTTTTTTTTTCTTCTTTTTTTTTTTTGAGAAAGAGTTGGCAATTAAGAGGTCCGTTCGATTCGCCTGAACTGGCTGAACTAGTTTAGCAGTGCAGGAACTGGTGCATTCGACTCAACCGGAAGTTGCCCGGCCGCTGCACTGGCGCGTTCGATGAATCCCAGTTCTGAACGAGTTCAGACCCAGTTCCTCAAAATCTTGCACCGGCTCCAGAGTCAGTTCAGCGTCCGTGCAGAAGCAGATGACAAGAGCATACGGCGATAGCAGACGACACTCCTCGTCCGTCTCTGCTCGCGGTGCCATTTTTCGCAGCTCTTGCTCAAATGTCTGCGATGGTTAACAATAACGCCGATAAGGACGTTGCATTTCCTCCCAGTTATGATAATAACGTACCCGCGGTGGACGCGGAATTGAGATCATAAGGAATTTGATTGATTATGATATTCTGAAAGCGTTTTAGGCACCTGCTCGTGTAGGTTTGGCTCCCTGTGGTAAGTGTTGAAATACTGGATCACGTAAATTGTTTGTTTTTGATGTTATGTGGGGATGCACAGTGTTGATATTCTTCCTTACCGACACGGGAAAGGTATTGCACTCTTGATAGTCCCCACCTTCAGTTAAAAAGGTATTGCACTCTTGATAGTCCCCGCCTTCAGTTGTTCTTGGATGCGTACTGACGACACCGATACATTGCAGAGGTCTGGGATTTAGTACATTGGCCCTCGCATGCCCTGGACGCCCTCTAACGTGCCTGGGAAAAACGACGCCGAGAATCGGCATTGGCTTGGTATATCCATGCAGTTCTTTCTTGAGAATCAGCATAAACGCTTTAGCGTGACGCCAAAGTTACGGTCGATAACTGTATTGGCCAAAACGCTATCGTCAGGCCTTCGTCTTCGAGGTGACCACTATCGACCGCGCGCTGCCGCCAGTGACTCCCGACGCAAAATCATCCCGATGCCGCGAACATATCGTAGAAATGCGAGACTCGAGAGACTAGGAATGAATCTACTGTTGCTAAATGAATGTGAAGGACACGAACGCTTATGGAAATGAGAGGAACCGAACGGCCGTTAAAAATTTAGACAGAAACGCATTTCGTGCAGAAAACGTTTTTAGTACACGCGAATAAAAAAATAATCTCAGAAAGGGTTCCGGTATTATACTTTAAAACTAAGGAAACACGAATTGTCTCATCAACCCACGAACAAATAAATATAGCATACAACTTGGCGTTTAGAAACAGGAGCCAACAGATGCAGACGACACTCTGCGCTTCCGCTCGGAAAGCCGATCACAGCGCCAGTCCTAGCGCGGCGGCTGCACTGGATCTGCGCCGCCGCTGCACGACTCCTGCACTCCTCTGAACTCGGACAGAACTAGTTCGAAACTTTCTGTCCAAATCGAACAGACCTAAGGTGTGGGAAGCCACGTGCTCTCGCAGCAGTATAGGGCTGGGGAACTATGGAAACTACTTTGTTAGTTAGCAGCATAGTTCGGCAGCAACAAACTAACCTGAGTGTACACACTCGCATATGATTCTCGGTAATACAGTGTTTTTTGTTGTTGTGGTTTTCTTGTGTGTGTCGACACTTTGCAGCAGCTGTGCATGAGCCCCACCATAACCGACTTTCAGTTCTAGTTTCGTCTTATTTTGATCACTTCGCTCCATCATTACCACAACAGGACAGGTTATTGCCATTTTCGATTCTACTGTATCCTTCTCCCCAGCCTTGGCCTTCGTGGAGGCTTGTCAAAGCCCGCATCAGTGGCTTGGAATCTCAGTAAGACACGAGAGTCCACTGGCGGCTAGAATCCGGCGCGTGTGCAAAAGCGTCTACCGAGTCCAGGGAACTTATACTTCCACCTCCTTCATTTTTCAATATTTTGTTTCATATCTGGGTTAACTATATGTATATTGTCCCGTGGAGAAATTAGACTATCTCGTGGTTTTCCTCTGGAGCTGGGACTCGAGAGAGTTTACACATCAAAACGTTATCATAGACTCATTCGATAGAAGTGCCGAGTCATTTGCTCGAGTACAAAGAGGGTTCAACGCGCCAGCTTCCACAATATTTATGCCTGTTCACACATTCAGCGGAGCGCTAAGTTAGCGCTACGTGAGCACTCCAAGGAGCGCTCGTGTGGCGCTTCATAGCACGTGACATAGGCAGCCGGCAACGGCCAGGCGGCGCCAGCAGGGTGAGAGCGCACGGTTATACCCTATCTCGTTGTAACTTGGCCAACGGCGAACGATAAGCCCCACATTGCGTGCTGAAGGCTTCGAAATGCGCGACGTATACGAGCGCAACGCACACATATTGGAGCGTGACGCAGCGAAAAGCCTGATACTTCTTCGAAGTTGAGGCGCGCTCCGGCGATACGCAGTCACGTTTCGATTGGCCCGCCAGGACCGTAGCTTCCGCTCTACTGGCACGTTACGCGATCACGGCTTCCTGGGATACCCAGTATTTCTTGCTTCGGACACTAGGCTCAGCGGCGCCACCAGAGTAATAGCTCACGTTTGAACAATGCAGCCGCCACTCCCAGGGCTACCCAATATTTCTTGCTTCAGTCGCTAGATGGCGCCAAACCAAACAGCATTGCAGGTTGCCTATAGTTCTAATATAGCGCGCGATTAGCGCTTCAGTAGCGCGCGATTAGCGCTTCAGTAGCGCTTTGTTAGCGCGTCAGTAGTGCCTTGTTAGCGCTTTTTGTAGCGCGGTTACTGCTACGGATTAGCGCGTGCACTGCGGTCCCGGTTCCTTTCGTTGGGTGCATTAGCAGCACTATGGCGGACATGTGGTACGCTGAAATAGAAATGAAATGTTCTTACATACGCAATTAGTGCATATGTGTGTAGACGGAAGATCCTTCTGGGTGCGCGAAATCTTTCGCCGCCTGATTACCGACGGGTACCTGGCGAACCTTGTTCCCAGGCTGAGGGACGAGAGTTTTTTCGAAGGTAATTATTTTTTTACCTACGCGTCTTTGAAACCAGGCTCACGAATGTTGAACAGAAATCGACGTGGTCGTACCCAATCAATTAGTCGCTCAAAATGTATGATTATGGATCATCTGCCCGACCGTTTGCTTGGAGCACGGGTCATTTACTTCCTCTTTTTTCACTACCAAAGGAAAAGCAACGGAATCGCCGTGTACGCGCTGTTCTGCAGCAGCAAGCACAGCACAAGGAGCGTGAGTGCGCTAACAGAGCGCTGCTAAAGCGCTAACCGAGCGCTACGTCACGCGCTAGAAAGCGCCACATGAGCGCTCCTCCGAGCGCTCACGTAGCGCTAACTTAGCGCTCCGCCGTATGTGTGAACCGGCCTTTATGGCCGGTTCTCACATGCGGCGAAGCGCTGATGTAGCGCTGCTCACGTGTCTTCAGCTACTTGTCGTCTGCCATGAGCAACAGTGTTGACGGTGCACTACAAAGGAAACAGGCCTTTAGTCTGCCTGAGGAATTGCAGCTGCGCGGCCAAAGATCAAGGGCCTAAGTTCCAGTGTGAACTTGCAATCATCAACGCTGCCTTTCATTAACAAAACATAGAGCGCAAGTTTTACATACAGAGCGCGACACAGTTAGAACGAACGAGCCATTGCCGGTTTTTCTTTCATATTTTTAACTAAAATATCATCAGCCATTGCACTCTGTGAAGGTGGAGGACCAGCGAAGCTGTTTAGCACACGACACAGACTTTCCCCGAAGAACCGGAAGAAACTAGACACGCGCGACAAGACCACCACCCCGGGAGAGCGGAAGGAAAGGAAACTAGGCAGGCAACCGCTTGGAACGACGACAAAGAGGCGGCGGTGCGAGCGTAGACATGGCCGACGCGGATCGCACAGCGGCAAATCTTTGAGAAACCTTTATTGTCTACCCAAGAGTCTGCTGATCTCAAAAATGGTGCCTATTGATGACTAATCTAGTGAATAAACCTACTGCTAAGTTACCCAAGCGTCAAGGGCCGTGTTCCAAATCTTACCCAAATGGATCCGAGTTACTCCCGCGGGTCGTGTCACGTGACAACACAGACTGAAAAACGCTGGACGCGGGTAGGCTTTAGAACGCCAAGGTGCAAAACCTCACCCTGGAGTAGGATCGAGTAAATTTTGGAACACGGCCAAGGAGACTGCAGGAAATGGTGTTCCACGCGCCGCACGTGCCGGCGTGTGCAGCAGTAACTGTTTTCTAAAGCAAAAGCCTAAAACAAATGGCATTTTGCACGCGCGTTCGTCCACGCTTTATTTTGGTTATTTACTTCGAATCTTTCATTCGGGGAAGGCGTGCGCGTGCGGCGCGTGCGGCGGTGCAAGCGTAGAGTTTTTGGTCACGGACACGAGAAATCGACGGAACAATAGCCATAAACAACTTCGCTGTAAAAGCACATCAAACCAACTGTTGGGGTACGTCTTCCTTGCACTGAGTAACAGGTGGGGCGCTAACATTCGTTCATGTCTCTATAAGCTGCCTGTTTGTTGATATTCTGACTGCTCTATAGTCTGTTCGCCCCTAACCGCCTCCCTTTCATCACCGGACACGGGCGGGACTGTGATAACGGGGCCAAAGATATACGTACGACTGGTCCAAAGAGAGCGTTGCACCACACTGTCGGCTCAGGGGCGAACAGAGTGGTTATGCCACTCGAAGTACGTCCGTCACATGCTGCCTGTCATATATGTGTCCATCCATTGGTGAACTTTGTATATCTACTAATTATGATGGCGTGACCTCTTCGTTTCGCAGATCAGCAGATTGGCTACACGGTGCAGAAGACCATATTCGAGGCCTTCGCGTCATTTTCGGAGGACATCTTGAAGCGGATGCACAAGAATCCAGCCCTCGCTCAGCTGCCCGTGGTGGTACGTACTCAGCAAGGGGATAAAGATGGGGGCGGAACGCGGCAAACCGCGAGAGCTGAGAACGTAGATGCTACGCGTGTTTCTATTGTCGAGACACGTAGAGGTTATACAATACACGATGCCAGCATTTTTTTTAAATTATAAAAAAATTAAAAAGAAAAACAAGGTACTGACCTTGCAGGTGATCATTTGTGGGTTTCTTGTGCTCATGAAGACCTTGCCAGCAATCTGTGGAGTGATCTGGACCCGCCGGGACCACACACGCCTGCCTCTGTACCGCCGTTCTGAGGAAGTCGAAATGTATGGAGCGATAGCGTAATCTCCTCTAGATGTACGATAGAAAGTCTATGGCAGTTAGTAGCGAGCATTGGCATCTGTAAAGATGACAGACTCGGTCCTTCTAGATATGTTATATGAACTTTATGGTACTTAGCCGCAAACATTGACGCCTGTCTTCCTTGAACTTGTTTGGACAGATCAAGGCCCCAATCTACGGCGTCGGCAAGCCAAGTTTCACCGAGTTCATGGCGCCGGGCATCATCATCAGCATCACGTACATCATGGCCGTCGGCTTGACGGCCATCTCCATTGTCTCTGAACAAAAGGAGGGGCTCCTCGAACGGAGCTGGGTCGCTGGTGAGTGCTCGGGGCGTTTTGGCGGCTTTGAGAGAGCCTCTACAAATAAAAGATCTAACGCTCTTTCAGCCGTTCTCTTTGCAACCATTTCTCTAGCTAAAAGCATTACCGTATTTTCCGGGCTGTATTCCATATCCGTCCGGTGCATGGGTCGGCAAAAACAAATTTCGACTGAACATTAAAAACAATGGTTGCATGCTTAGTCATTTTGTAAAAGGCGTTTGAATGCCGTAATCTTATAGGGTGGGCGGTGCTCTTAGTTCGGGTGGTGCCTAGGGCAGCGTTTTGTATGTGCAAATATTATTTCACACAAATGTGTCTTGTTGACGCTGAACGCGCTTCCCTTCAACACCACCCGGATACAAACCGTTTACGTTGAGTTTTCTAAAGCTCTAAGAGAGGATGCGCGCTTTTCTGCCCTTTCCACTCTTTGTTCCACGCGCTCTTACTACACAACCTATCGCAGCTCCTCCTCTATGCCCTCCTTTCCGCCCCTCTCCGCTCCGCGCGCTTTCTCACACCACCTGCCCCTGCTCTTCCCGTTTCTGCGGGAAGAGCAGGGGCAGCGCACTTCACTTCTACTCTGGTGACCGGGGTTCGATCCCTGACACCGTTTGCAGTTTTCTTTTTCTTTCATGATTGTTTAGAGGTTACGGACTGACCAACCTACACATTTCGTGCTAAGGTTGGTTGGCCCTGTAAAGCTGCCGCTTTCAAAAAGATTTCTTATTCTGCACCCAACGTGTATGGACCACACGTGGCGTAAATTCCGCACGAAAGACTACTAGCGAGGCTCCTTTTTCCAACCTTCCCACATATCATGTGGTTGTGCAAAGGGCAAGTGGTGTGAAAAGAGATAGCGATGCGCCGCTGTCACTCCCCCCTAATCACGTGGGGTTTTCGCGTACGAACACATATACTCGTTTTCTCCCCAAGAATTGTAGTAAAAAAAGTCCGGCTCCCGGCGGAGAATTACTAATTTCCAATTGTATGTAGAGAATTATGATATATGTAGGTGCATCTTAGGTAAGATATATGTTGTCTTACCAAGACGTCGACGTTCTGAACGCAAAAATAATCATCTCTTCCTCCGACCACCAAATCTTCGAAGAACTATTTCGCACGCCGTTCAAACAATGCGCAAAACTTCCTTCTTTCTTGATGTGAAAAGGAGTATAGATAAGACAGCCTTCTAGCTGAAGTTTTCTGTGTCACTACAAAAGTGGGACACGAGTGCAGCGTTAGCGTTCTGACTCGTGTTCAAAAAGTGAGGACACATGTCTCAACGATGAAGCCGTAGTCGTGTCAAATATTTGCCTTACGGTTTTTTTTTTTTTTTTTTTTTTTTACAGCTTTTAGGCTGTCCTATTTAGGAGGTGTTGGTACAAACGGTGCCTGACTTCACTGTAAAAGGGGCCACTAGCAGCTATCCACTGCAAAAACTAACAAGCCCTTGCAGAACGCGCTGGAGATATAGGTAACCGCATCTGCTCTTGTGGTGTCTTTACAGGCGTGCGGCCGTTCGAGGTAATTCTGTCGCACGTGGTGTGTCAGTTCCTGGTCATGTTCGTGCAAGTGGCCGGCTTGCTCGTCTTCACGTTCATCGTGTTCGAGATCCCGTCCCGGGGCCCCTTCGTGTGGGTGGTGCTGCTCACGCTGCTCCAGGGCTGCTGCGGCATGATCTACGGCCTGGTCATCTCGTCCATGTGCGTCGAGGAAAACTCGGCCATCATGCTCGCCCTAGGCTCCTTCTACCCCAACCTCCTGCTCAGCGGTCAGTGGCCACTGCCCACTCGGGTCTGCGAATTTTAGACGATCCTCCGGGTTGGACTACGGTACCCAGAACGCATCCCCGACTGGCGTGTTTAGCGCCCTATTCCGCCCATGCACGTTGAAAGTGGTCCCAAAGTTGCAGCTAATGACGTCAGAAAAGCCGGAATGTCGTGCTGTCGGATGTCGCGATCCTGGCGGTTGGTCGTAGAAATCTTTGCAAAAAGCACGAAAGAACGAGAATGGCGCTGTCTTTGCGGCATCCCAACTCCTGGCTACCGAAGCTTCCGTGGTCTGTTACGCTGGACAGCGAACTGCAGCAGAACAGGCGTCTGCCACATCCACCACCGCTGCTGTTACTCCGGCAGGATCGCGGCAGCAACAGCACGACACTTTTATGACGTCATGAGGCGGAAATCGAGGGACGCGGTAAATACTCCGGTCTGAGGCGCTTTCAAGGCACCGTGGTTTGACTAAATTAGACTGGACGTTCACTGAACCTTCGGACGTTTAGCAAAATATACCGAAACGTTGGATGAATATATGCATGGTGTTCCTTTTGAATCCGGCGGTAACTTATGCCACCTAGCCAAATAGCATTCTTATTGTTAGATTAAGCTATGTGTAAGTCAATTTTTATCCCTCTCGCTTAATTTTAGTCATCATTCCTCTAATTTTCTTTTGCTAAGCTCGACTCGAAAACGTTTCGTTTCACCGTTCTCACGGAATTCCAGGGCCCTGAGAAAGTCAGCCTGTTGGTGCATTCCATAGTGGCGTGCACTGGCGTTTCCATTCCCTCCCAGCGTATAGTATGACCCCTTCCCGGAGTGCGCGCCATCTATAAACCAACGCGCGGTTATGACGTCACGCCGCTCCGGTGGCGCTGACGTCATAACCGCGCGTGCACTGCCCACACCTGGTGTAAGCGAACTCGCGCTTGTTCGTAAACATCGTGTTATCTTGTAGTTAATGACGGGATGAGAACGGCAGGGTGGTCTTTCCGTTGTCCCGTCTCCAACGCGAGCTTTCTGCTTCCGATAACGCTTCGGCATCTCGTGGGCTTGGAACTTGCACACGTAAGGAAAGCAACGGCCAAAAGGCTGAAAGGCCAAGCTTACGCCGTGCAGAAAGCACGATGGAAGATAGGAATCAACGCGTCCTTAACTGTCAAGGTCGACAGTCTGACATTCCTCTTATCTTTGTTAATGAATGTCGGATTAATCATACTCAAGTCGTTATGGTAAGTGTTTGGAAAACCGTGGAAGGCCGATCACAGGCTCGCGTTTTGGTCGCACACAGTCGCCAATAGTAGCCGTGCACCATTTATCCGAGTCTGCCGCGTTGTTTGATGATGTGCTCTCTGTGTATTTGGGACACAAAGCTGCGTCGGCGCTCGGCAATGATTTGGATACTATTTTACAGTGTAATACCGCCACCCTAAACTGCTATTTTTTTTATATATATATATATATATATATTTAGTCTAAGAATTTTGTGGAAAGAGTTGGGAGATCATTAGGAGTTCGGAATCATTAGGAGTTCGGAATCTTGACGTCCTGCAACTAAAAAAAAAAGGCGATTGACCGAAGAAACGTGCCACAGGACAAGCGCTGGACTGGGTGCCTTCTCTCGGTTCACTTTTGTTTGACGAAGTTACAAAGTTTTTGCAGAACCAACTGCATGGTCTATTCGTGCATACAAATTCAATGAGAAATGTTGCGCGACAAAAGTAATGTCACTTTCAATCGATGATTTCGTGAAATCCATCGCGTGACAAAATGACACGCCTGTGCCACACAACTCGGATCATGGGCACTTTTGGTTAACATTTTGCAGGCGTTTTCGAAATCCACGTGACCTGGCTCCCAATCCGCAATGTGGCATCTTTTCGTCAAGGGTGTTCCACTTGAAATGCCTGGACGGATAGAGGGTCGTTTGTAGACTAAGACTTGTAGCATATAGACAAAAATTTCTTCACCGCATTGGCCAGGCCACAAGGCCAGAGTGCCTAAGTTGTGCTCTAATTGAAACAATTGCTTTGCAATGGTGCTGTCTACAATATAAAAAGAAACAAGTTCAAAAGCATGCATGCATGCGTCAAAACCCGGCACCTCTTTGTGACAAAGGTTCTTGGTGTTTGGGATGAGTCACGCAATGGAGCAACAACCACAGAAGCTCTTGTTTTCTAAAGGAAACACACCTGGAGTTCTATCTGTAGAAAATAAACCTCAGTGTTCGTACCTAGTGCCGTATCTCTACTGTCCTACACTTGTAACTTTTTCGCATTTCACCCCTCCTTTAATTTCCCTTGCCACAGAGTTGTCAACCGGGACAATTATCCAGGTTGAATAAAGTAAACATCTCTGGCTTCCTCTTCTCTCCTGTTCGTACTTACTTCCCTGGTTAGAGCAATTTCCTAACGGGTCTTTCTCTGTGGCTATCACAGGGGTGGTGTGGCCGACACAGGCGATGCCGTACTACATGCGCTACCTGAGCTACGGCCTGCCGCAGACCATCCCGACCGAGTCCCTACGCTGCATCCTGTCCAGAGGCTGGGGCATCACGCACACCGAGGTCTGGCTAGGCTTCGTGGTCTCGGGCGCCTGGTGCGCCATCTTCCTGCTCTTCGCGGCTGTCGCCTTCCGCCTGCGGAACTAGGCGCCGCCCCCCTCCGCTCTGTACATACCACCCCCTCTCTCACTGCTATTAAACCTCGCTCCACAACCGCATATCTGCTTTTACGTCTTCGTGAAAAAGTATTTGTCTGCCAAAGTCATGTATACTGGGTTTGATCCACGCCTCTGCCCGGCCCCAGGGTGTTGAAATAGTCCCAATATGGAACAAAATGGTGAGTTGGGCCAATTGGTTCATAATGGGAAAAGACAAGCGCCGAAAGACTGGGACAAGGTAAGAAGACGACGACACAAGGCGTGTCGTCGTCTTCTTACCTTGTCCTAGTCTTTCGGCGCTTGTCTTGTCCCAATATGGCTTTTAAAGGCCGCTCCAAGCCAAGTGGCAAAACGGGTCCCGAAGAAATTTGGGAGAGAGTGATGGCGTCAACGAGATGTCTTGCGGCTCCAAAGTTTTGCGGTCAACGGCGTCACGGGTGCAAAGTTGAAAATAGTGTTTCCGGGGCTCGGGCCATCAGCGTCTCACCGTTTCTAAATATTGTCTTTCGGAGTTTTGTCCACACTACGGACACTACATGTGCAGACTTATGCTGCAGTTGTACGGACGTTGTCGAATGCCGTAGACATCAAAACGTAGAGAAGAGTGCGTTGCAGACAACACTTGCGCTTGGCATACGCCCGCCCCAATCCCGCCCGTCGTTGCGTTCAGGATCACGTGACATCTCGTACCACGTGATAGCCATGTTTATGACGGCCCGGGGTCAATGTTGCTGGGCAGAGCCGAAGTTTTCGTTTCGATTTCTGCTCTTGTTTGAAATTAGATTTAAAGATATGTGTCCCATTTTTCCCGAAGCAAATGACGTAGTGTCTTTTAGCATAACTTTTTAAAATGCGAAATCACTCATTTTCCCGAAATCTTCGGAATTGAGCGGAGTTGCCCTTTCAAGTCTACTATATTCGCGACGAATTCAAGTGACGTACGTGGACATCGCCCGTTTCTTCGTTGATTTCTTTGCTGCCATCTTGTTTTGAAAGCCACCGACGTCACGTTAGCGTCGCGCCGCGATTTGTTGCCGCTTCGTGATTGGGAGAAATCGGTCGCGAAGCGGTTGGCAAAAAAACTCCCTAACCGCTCGATTTCACCCGCTTTGCGATTGAGAACGCGCGGATCCGCTTCACGGTTGCGGATCCGCTTCCCGTTTGAACGCGCCATTAGAGGCCGACCTGCAAAATATTTTTCAACCAGGGAAAAATCCTCCTCGCCACCCTTCCCTTTCCCCTCTCAACAACTTCTAACTTGACGGCGGGGTTACTCCTTTTGTGGCTGCATCTCGGGAGCTGGAAGAGATGGGATAAGCACCGGGCCTATCCGGCTCCAAGATGCAGTAACAAAAGGAATCCCACCGCCGTCAAGATAGCAGAGGGAGAGGGGGAAATGAAAAGGGTAGCGAGGAGAATTTTCTTGGTTGAAAATACTTGGCAGGTCGGTCTTTAGAGGAGAAATCAGCCGCCTATTATGGCATTCCCACTTCCAAGTTCCGACTGTCTTCTACTTCTAGACCACTGTAAAATAGCTGAAGGAAAAAGGCACGTACAGTCCCTGAACGCAACTCAAGGCGGAACTTTATGGGATGAATATGCGGAGATACGATCGGGCATTGTCCCTGGCACAACACCACGCGCAGAACTTCCACCGCCGGGCGAGATTTGTCGTTTTATTTCCGCTCATGGAGTCTAGTCTTGAGACTTTAATCAACAACGAATCCTTTCATAGGTTCTTTGTAGGACTAGCGCAAATAAGTTCCTTCTTTCCAATCGAAAATAAAGAAAACATCACCGTCTCTTGCTCAGCTTACCTTTAGACGCTTGATCTAGAAACGAAGCAGCTTCAGCTTCCACGTTTCATCTTCCACGTTCCGAGCACGCGGTTTCGAGACGGTGGCGTCTACGGCATCACTCGCTTCGTCGGAGTCATCAAAACTGATCGCAGCAGGGATGAGGGTGATGTCATCAAAAGATGTTAGAAGCTGGTCATTTTCACATCGACTGGCTCGCGAACAACTCCAGCGACGACGCCGGGATCGTAACCGACGAACTCGCCGTCGCCCTCGACGATCGCGCAGGTGCAGGCAGGCTGGAAGATCGAAGAGCCAGGGAACGAGAACAAGAGTAGAAACGCGTCGCAGCAGGTGTGCATAAGCGCCGCCATAACCTACCTTCCGTTTTTGTTTCCTCTTATCCCTATTACCCCACTTCGTCATTAGCATTACATGTCAGGTTATTGCCATTTTAGATTATACCGTGACCTTCTCCCCAGCATTGGCCTTTGTGGAGGCTCGTCAAAGCCCGCTTCACTGGGTTGGTATCTCGGCAAGACAAGAGAAGGTCGGCAATGGCGGCTGTAATATGGCCAGATGTTCGCATGGCGCCCCCTTACGGCGAACCGGGGTGACGTCACGGCGAGGACATGATTTTTCCCTGACTCGCCCCGCTCGCCCTGCGGAGGCTGTGACGACGTTAGCTTTCGGCGCGCTCGTTTATATGCATTTCTTTTTCTGCGCGTTTTTCGTAGGAAGCGTAAATTTTCATTTGTGGCTTCACTGCAGTGTGGGCCATAGCAGCAGGCGAAACCTCAACCAACATTTCAGGCATGGTTGACGGCAGGCAATGCATGAATCGCAGCTGGTATATTCAAATAAAGAAATATTGCCATAATTGCAGTCAATGCTCCTGATGATGTAAGGAATCGGCAGATTATGTATCCTATTTCGTTCTTTTTTTTTATTCTTTTTTTTTAAATTTCTGTTTTAAACAAAAACGCCGAAGCAGAAAAGCTGCATGCTGCTCGAGGAACGTGTTAAATACAGTCTGGTCCATGGAGCGAGAATTACAAGTGAGACAGTACAGGTACAGGGGCAAAGCAAAGCAAAGAAGGAATATTCACATATACATTTCTCGCATTAGACCTTTGCTGGATTCGTAAAGTATTTCAATGAACTCCACTGGTGGTATCTGTGAAATTGTTCATATCATCCCTCAAGTATACAACAAACGTAAGCGAAGGTGTCTAGCCCGTTATTAGTCCCTTAGGCTCTAAAATTGGGATTTTACCGAAATCAAATTGTCCTGGAGCTAAAATACCTGAAGTTAAAATACAAGAAGGCTGGAATAAAGGAAGAATATCAGAAAAAAGTATAAACCTTCTAAATTACGGTACTATTGCTGCGCATATTTTTGGGCAGTTCAATACATCTCATACAAACAACTCAGGGCAATTCGGCCGTTTTTCTGCTACTATACAAACTAATTTCCAGTAATTGTGCATCTTCTAAAAATAAGGCATGCCTGCAAACGTGTACGAACTATATCATTAATTCACGAAGAAGCTACATTTAGGTAAAACAACCCTGTTCCACGAGCACTTCAAAGGCCTGCAGACCCAGAGCCTTGAAAACATCTGCGAACCAGCGCATGCAGAGTGGCACGCGCAGAGACGGAGTCGCGAGCTAATTTGCCGACCGCTCGAAGGCCTTTGATATAAATTCCATCTCAAATGCCTACAAAGCGGGATGTAATATTTTCCTAAATCATTAACATGCAAGGAACAGAATTCCAGCGTCTGAAACACTTACGCCGCCGCTTCACCGACCCCTTGCACGATCGCCTTGTGTCGTGTGTACCGTCAGTGAGGTTCATCGGCGGAATCCACTAGGAAGAGCGGAGAAAGAAGAAATGCCCCCCCCACCCCCCCTTCCCTCACACCCCGCGCGTCGTCTGCTCCGCCGAGTGGGCTGTACCTAACATCCGGCTGGCGTGCAAACCCGGTTTAAAATCGCGTCATTTTGGAAATGTCAAGGGCAGATGCGCGGATTTTGATAAGCAAGCTATCGTGTAACGCTATGCTATATAAAAATACTAACCGGGTCCAATTGCGCTGTTACCTGCGTGCAAATAAAGAATAGAATTGGGAAAACTGTGTCAAAGTGGCCGGTCTCTCCGGCAACAAGTAAATCCGGTTGCTGTAGATTTTTTCTACAGCAAACGACGCATTGTCGGACGACAATGCGTCGTCCGACAATGCGTCGTCCGCTGCGATTCGGGTGTTTTCTTGCTCCGCGACTAATGCAGAATTCCACTGGTCGCTTTGGAGCACGCTGGTGGAATCAGGAAACCAGATACGAGATGGACCTCGCGATCCGAACGTAGTCGCTTCGCCGCCGGATCCTTCGTGGAACATGACCACTCCCCCGGGAACGGCGAGAGCCTTCCCGTCATTCACCTTCCCGGGAATCCCCTTCCCGAAGTCTCAGATCTAGAAGCACACGAGAGGCCATTATAATTTCTTCCGAGGCGAGATGCCTTTCGAGAAAGGAAGCCACGTAGCTCGCCTAGGGCTGGCCAGGCTGGCTTCTGTTCGAATCCGCCGAAATCGGCGGAGCTGCTCTTATCGGATCCGGATCGAGATCTGGAGCTGATCCAAAACGACCAGTGGGACACGTTCGTCTCGATCTCGATCGCCGAGTGAAATATGCGCACTCCAGAAGTGTCGTTCCCGGCGCACTCCAAAACGAACAGTGAAATTCGCCATAAGTATCGCGTGCGATAAGCGCTCCTAAAATACTTTTGAAAGTTTGACTATTTTCATTTTGGACATGTGGCTGACGTAACACAAGAATAAGCCTACCGATGCTTTTGTCGTCGTCGCCATCGTCGGGAGCCGCGAAGAAAGAGGCTTTCTTCTCTTTCTCGCAGATACGCACCCCGTTGTGCATCCAGGATCAAAGACGTGTGTTTGCTGTTCTGCCATCGCGGTAGTCTGGACGCATGAGGCAGTCTTTCCGGGAAGAGCACGACAAACGAGCACTTCTAGCGACGCGAACGAGTCTTTCAGGTCGAGAAGTCTGCCATTGGCATCTGATTATGATGATGATAATGATGATTCTGCGCCTTTTCCCTTTGCAGTGGGCGAGCTCGAAAAAAATGTATGCCCTAACTATAAATTAAAATGTAAAAAAAACAAGAAAAAAAAAACCTATCCTGATTTTTGACATTAATGTACCATGTCTCGCATTCATTCTCTAGACACACAGAGCGCGCAA